AAAAGGTCTAATCAGTAAATCAAGGTTATCCACCAATATGTTGTTTGAAATCAAGGTTGTCCATCAATCCACCATTCAGATTTTAGATTCGCATTGGATAATTCGGTATACTCCATATTTAATACTCCCTCGAGGAAGGTAGTATTTACTGACTTCTAATATAAATAATTAGTGCTAAATTATTGTTTTGTACTATTGTAGTATTTATTATGACGGTGAAACGAAAACTTATGAAAAAAAGAAAAGAAAACTTTTACAATTTTATTTATTTTTAGAAGAATTTACATTTTCACATACTTTATATCAACTTTAAATGAAGTATTACCTTTTACATTTAGTAAAAATGATGTATAAATTTCTAATTACTTCATATTATTCTATTAGTATTAATTTTAAGTATTATTTGATCTCATTAGTCATTCTTTGTCTGGGGCATCAAAAATCCTAGAGACAACCCTGCGCCATGGCACGTCGTTATCTCGCAACACAACCTTGCTGTCAACAAAATTTTGTACGTTGTCAACCTTTAATATATCCACTTTGGCATCTTCATTCCACCCCAAGACCAGTCCCCCGCTTCGTCCCACGCTGTCAATCCCCTCTGAATTAGCAAAACTCGTTGCCCGTAGGATCTCTTTTGTACGTTGACATCGAACTTTTGTTTCCATTAAGAAAACAATTGTCGGCCGGTACTGAACTGACCAGATCAGTAAGACATTGAATGGTTGCCGGGTTGCCAAGACCTCTACAATTCCAACTCAAAACACTCATCAAACCCAACCTTTTCCTTCTGCTGCAAACTCAAGTCGCACCCCTGCAACGAGGTTATAAATGGTGTCTGCCTCTGACTTTTACTTGCAGCCAGGCTTAACCTAATCGAATCAATCGAAGTCCAGAAAGTCTCCGAGTTCTCTGCTCTATCTGTTACCACGACAAGGCCGCACACCTGCAGCAAAATTCAGGCCGCACCTTATGTCTCGCCTCCGAGCTTGAAAGCCGAACCTAGAATGTTGAAATACACCGGTAAGGGATAATCGATCCACGCACTAGGAAGAACCTCTGGACTGAGCGACCAAAAGGCCGCCGCCGGTAAAAACACGCTAGGTATAAAACCTAGAGACGGCCGCCGTGCAGTCCATTAAATTTATCTCATACCTATACCATTGGTATTTGGTTGTGAAAACGGGATTATTATTATTTATTTGGATTACATAATGAGTTGTTGGTAGATTCACTAACCTACTACAAAGTCCAATTTTGGGTTCGGGATAAAACAGGGTGTATTATACTTGTCTTGGTCCCATTTTGGCTCGCGATCAGTACGGAACAAAAATAATGTGTCCCAAATGTAATGGGACAATTTCGGAACGGAACCGGAACATTCCAGAACGGACCAACGGGACCAGATCTTTTGCCCACCCCTAGATAAAATAACACTTTACTAAAAATAAGTTTTATTCAAAAAATTATGTTAATAAATTAATGAATTAAATATGGAACGTATCAAATATGTGTTTTGAGTTATCTTAAGTGGCAAATGCACAAGTATATTTAAAAATCAATTTGTATTAAGTGGAAAAAATGTAATTGTTAAATTTACAAAATATATGCGATCACTTAAATTGTCCTACCACGTAATAATATCGAAGTAGTTCAAACAAGACAGAATTTGAATATAATTATATAAGGTCACTTTAAATTAATTTAAAGTTTAAAAAAACAAAATTAATAAAAGCTAAGCTAGGAATGGAACCCTTTACAAAATACTTCGTATATGTTATCACCTAAATAAATTGTACTAGGTAATAATATTGCAGTAGTTCAAAAAAGACAGAATTTGAATACAATTATATAAAACGACTTAGAAATTATTTTAGAGCTCAAAAACGATAAAATTAAAGCAAAATTACAGCCACACAAGGAATTGATCACTTAGGCCGTTCATTTTAGACATTTTAAAACATTTTAGATTTGTGAAATCTTAGTATATTTTTTTTGGAAGAGTGAAATCTCAGTGTCTAAAAAATTATAAACACCAATGAGGTAAAGGTGTAATGGATATGAGAAAAATGTTGGTGTAATCAAGAAACAATATGAAGTTGTTCATCATGCATAATCACTTGTACATTTTAACTCTTAACTTTTCTAACCCTCATGTTGCTTTGCCGTTAGTTGCTTATTACTTGCTTTGCCGTTAGTTTATTACAGAGTATAAAGAATCCAGTCATTTCCTTTTCCTTTTCATTGCTTTAGCTATACTTGAGCAACCATTATCATTTCCAACCAATAATAGTAGTGCTGCAAAGACTACTCAACCAAACTGAGGTTGGAGTGGATCTTATGGAAAGGAGGTCAACATGGTTTAGAATGTCTCTTGCGACTGAATCCGTGAATTTACTTTTCCTAAACATGTTACAATGACCTTTGATTGGGAGGAATTTTGACATTTCTTATACCATATAATAATACAGTCAATGATGAAAATAGTTTTTAAGTGGGACAAGTGTCAAATTGGAACCATGGTTACATGTGAATCCCATATTGGCCATCAAGGTTTCAAATGGACCAAATCGGATAGTATAGTTACTTGTGAATCATTTCACTTACGATTTTCTTCTTCCGTTGATAAAAATTGTTTGTTTTAATTTTCTTTTCCTTTTTGGTATCAATAAACTAACTTAATTGATTAATTTTGGAATATTTAGTTTGAGGTTTTAGACTATATATATAGTTCGGTTTTGGAACACATTCTATTTATTTTATTTGGTCATATTTTTTTTACTCCGGGGGGGGGGGGGGGGGTCTGGGGGGCCTGGAGTAATCAGGACTAAAACTCACTCCATAGAGTTTAAAACCCTTATGTGCCTAGCGGGTTTCGAACTCGAGACATTCCACTAGGCACAGTAACCTCACAACCAGCTAGGCTGGAATGCTTGGTTATTTTATTTGGTCATACGTTAATATATTTTATTTGGTCATATGTTAATATCTTTCTAGCATTTCATTTATCTGTATCCTATGTTGTAAGACAATATCTTTGTAATGAAGTTTGAATGACTAATTTCTTCCATCCTTATTCCTATGAAGTCTCACCCTCGTGATTGGAATGGTTTCACACCAATCAGTATATATAATATCATTAGTTATTACTTCAGACCTTATTATTAACACACGCAGTGTCTTTCTAGGATAGATACAGGGCCGGTCCTGTCCAATTTGGGGCCTATGGGCAATATACGATCTTGGCCTTATTTCTAAAACAGGTAGGGCTGAGCACGGATCTGGGAATTCTCGTTCCGTACCGAAGAACCGTCCCGAACCGCTCCAGAACCGATAGAACCGGAAAAATGTAAAACCGTACCGTACCGAGCTTTTTTAATAATATGGTACGGTACCGGTTCTTAGTGAGAACCGTCCCGGAACCGTATTGTCCCGAACCGTCCCGTACCGTCCCGAATTGTCCCGAAAACTAGTGTTAGATTATAATAGTATATTATACATAATATATTACCGAGTATAAATAATAGTGACCATATGTCCCGAAAAGTAGTGTTATAATATAATAATACTACGTATATTATATATAACATATTACCGAGTATAAATGTCAGGGATCGTATGTCCATATATTACAAATATGCAATCTTGCATATTCTTTGGGCGTAATCCAATTATTAAGATTTGACAGTACCAAAAGTTAGCTTTAAAACAAAAACAATACTAAATGATATAAACAATGCTATGTAAATAGGGTTAATTATATTTCATGGTGGTTAATTATTTACGAACCAAATAACACCGAAGAACCGAACCGTACCGCACCGTGCTAAAAATTGGTACGGAACGGGACAGGTTCCATATATATGCGGGACGGTACCGGTTCTTGATTTTTAAAAGAACCGTACTTTGGGACGGGACAGGTTTTTTGAAATAACCGTCCCGTACCGTTCCATGCTCACCCCTAAAAACAGGCAGTAAATTATACTTACTCAAAACCAGAATTACGAAGTATGAAGTATAATAAAACTATGAAAAATCACCCTAAATTGGACAAAAACGTTTGCATATTCCAAAATAAGATTATCATGCTTTTAATCTCTAAATAAGAGTAATTACTGCCATGTTTTGGCAGTATCATATTGGACTTTAAACATGACAGTATTTTCCAACTTGACATTAATTACTTCCATTTATAGCATAAAAGCATGACAATCTCATATTGGAATTCTCTAGCATTTTTTCTCCTATTTCGATAATTCTGTCCCAAATTATCTAATAAAGGTTATAAAATAAAGATGAAATTTACTTTAATATTATTTGAATTACACAAAAGTAACAACACAAGTATCACAAAAGAACATTGTGAACTGAAATCATAAATAATTTCTTTATAATCAATCTTCTCCAAGATATCTTCCTCAATGCTTACAAAATCGCTATTACATTAAGCCTTTTTTAAACATGCATAGACGATTGCAGATAATTGAATGAGGTTTGAGAATTGGGAGACGTTGGCAGTCCAAGGACAATGCTGTAAATTTGTAATTAAAAGGAATAACAATCCTTAAATGTTATTTTATTGATTGAGAAACAAATGTGTTGACTTACAACAAGCTCTACTTAAAAATCAAAATTAAAAATATATTCTTTTTTAAAAACTTGCTTGACTCTGATCAAGGCTTTTTACTTATGTTTTAGAATTTTCAAGTTTTCATGAAAAATTACACGTTAGGCTTAATTAGTTAAATAAATTTATAAATAAAAAGAGAAGCCTACTCACAATACATATAAAGGAAAAAATTTGAGCCTATTTTTTTAATACTTGTTTCGGGCCTAGGGCGGTCACCCCTGCTGCCCTCCCCCTAGGATTGGCGCTGGATAGATATCGTTTAGGCGACTGGATGGTTCTGTAGTCTTCAAAATTTTATTTTATATGCAATAACTTATACTCTGTATTGGGCATTATATCAATCGCGCATCGCGCGTTCGAAAAACTGGTATTTAGATAAGACTTTTTAATACTACGTACATTTTATATATCCCAAAATGTTTAGATGTATTCAAATTGGACTCAAGAATTGATTCTTTTCAAAACATGGACTTAGAAGCCCAACTACAAACATAAATCCATCGGCGACAAAAGGACCCGCCACTGGCGCGGGAAGGTTTTTATTAGACCCGTGTTCTAATTGCCTAATTGGAACAGAAATTGGTTTTTATTTTTTATTCCAAAAAAATACATATTGTTCGTGGAAGCACCTCAAAGGATCATTGGCTGAGTCGTATTCTGACGCCTTTCGCTGAAGCACTCCCAAAGGTTTGTTCATTCATCTACGATTTTTCAATCATATCAGATCTGTTTTTTCTCTTACAATTTTTCTATTGATGAATCGTAAAGTATTGAATCTTAAATCTTGAATTACATTGAAAACGGCGGCAATGTGAATGGTTGCACCCTCTTATCTTTGTAATGTTGTTCAGATACCTTTGAAAACCCAAGAATTTCAGAGGTTCATCTTTTATCAATTTTGATGATTTATTGAACTGTTAATTGTTATCCTTTGTTTCTGCTTTGACTTAATTTTGGTTCTTTTATCTCTAAGATCCTTACTTGGACACAGAACCTATCAATGTGCAGCCTGCCATAATCTATGAATGTTGAATCTGGTTTACCCTACCTTAAGGGTTACCTTGATTTATTGAACTTACTTGTACTGTTGTTTGATTCCTATAATCACAGTATCATAGTTGATCAATTCATTTTAGGTTTTTTTTTTTTTAGATTAAAGATCAATCATTCTATTCTGCCTTCCATTCTTATGTTTTGCAAATTTATGTTTTGAAGAACATGTATGGCAACGATTTAGAAGATTTTAGTTTGAGTATCCTCTCTTTTTGTCTAATCTGTGTAGTTAAAGATAAAAATGCTCATAGGTCGGAGGTAAAAAGTATCTTGAGCCTTCAAGGACTTTAGAGAGCACTTTGTTTATGCTTGTTGTGTTTAGGAAAAGATTAGATAGATATATTGCATTAATTATCCATTACTTTATCATATATTATGATGGATAATTCTAGCAGAAGATTTTATGGGTACATTTTTTGTTTGTATTCCTTTGTGACATGTATTATTGTGTGATAAAAAGTTAAACTTTTCATCACCTAATAAAAACACATCACGTAGAAATATAAACAAAATATGTTCTTGAAGCATTGGCTTTGATTAACAGTCAAAACTAGATCGTACTCAAACGATAATAAAGTATACTTCATACATAATACCATACCATCTAACTAGACTGACTTAACGGACCAGTATAGTCCAAACCAAACTTAACCAAACCACTAAATTTCAATACAAATGGGCAGTTCATTAAGCTATTCCTATCGGGTACATTAACTTTGGAGTTCTTCATGCTTCATTTATATACTTGTTAGTAACCCTTTTTCCCACCAACTTGTACGACAGGTATTGCGTTTGTATCTTGATGAATTCAACCATTTCCGTGTCATCTGCAGTTTCCTCTAAAGTGGGAAACAAGACTGACTTCTTTTTCTGGGTTCTTGTTTGCTTACTACCTAAGTTCATTAAGAGACATACACTACACTGGGACTTGTATTTGATTGTTAAGGGTGTTGATAGGATTTCACAGATTCTTCTAACTTTTGAACTGCTTAGAAAGACTGAGGTTTAGTTCTTCTCTGGCCATCTGCATCTCTGATCAGTATTGTCAGCATGGTTTTCTCTCAGATCATTTCTACCACAAAGTCTTACATGCCAAAATCCTTTACCAATGCTTTTCTTCTACCTCTTAGTCCTCCTGATGATCCCTCAGAGCAGGTTGAGTTGGACTTTTCTGATGTTTTTGGCCCTTTAAATGAACAACCTAGTATTGGGATATCCGAAAGTCCTACTGTTAGTGAGCTCGTATATGATGATCCTGAGGTTATCTGCAACCGATCACATTCTTTGGTGGGTCCCTCTTCGTTTGTGAGTCAATCTTTAAAACTTGGCCGGCTCACCCTTCATGAAACAGAAGCATCTGTGGATGTTTTGGAAAGTTTAACCATTGAAACAATTAAAGAAGATCAAACGATAGGCCTTGAAGATTTTGAAGTTATGAAACTCGTTGGACAGGGTGCGTTTGGAAAAGTTTTCCAGGTGAAAAAGAAGGGGACATCTGAAATCTATGCAATGAAGGTGATGAGGAAGGACAAGATTATGGAAAAGAACCATGCTGAGTACATGAAAGCAGAGAGGGATATCTTGACAAAGATAGATCATCCCTTTGTCGTCCAGCTTAGATATTCATTTCAGGTAACACTTAAATAACTAATTATCTCGGTTACATAGTGTCCCCCCACCCACAAGTACAATAAATAAATTAAATAAATAAAGTAAAAGGTGTCCTTTTAATCTTATTCGTGCAGACCAAATACAGACTTTACCTTGTGCTAGACTTCATTAATGGTGGGCACCTATTCTTTCAGCTTTACCGTCAAGGTCTTTTCAGGTATCAGTAATATTTCATTTTTTGTCTTTTTATTACATTCATGTAAATTTGGTTATGATACATACTTGAATTATGTATCAGAGAGGATCTTGCACGCATATATACAGCAGAAATTGTATCAGCGGTGTCTCATCTTCATGAAAATGGTATAATGCACAGGGATCTCAAACCAGAAAATATTTTGCTGGATGCAGATGGCCATGTATGCTCCCCTGCCTCCTCTATTCCCCCCTACTCCCTCTTCCTACAGGGTCTATTGGAAACTTGATAAATGATAAGGAAAGAAAATATAGGGGAAATTTGGAAGAAAAGAAAATTTGAGAAAACTCAAACATTTTGTTCAAACTCAATAAATTATTTTGATTTTTTTTTCAACACCTGCATGTGTAAAATTTATAAACATTAGTCACCTTTTTCCTTTGCATTTTTCATTGTAAAACCGATCACAAGAAACTAAACTTTCATTGACATTTTCCACACTTCTAGCGCTTTCCAGGATCCAAACATACCCTAGGGATGTCAACTTCGCTGTTGTTTTCATACAATTTACATTGTTTCAATGTCCCCTTGTGATTTTGGGTATATGGTGTTTTAGGCAATGCTGACTGACTTTGGTTTAGCAAAACAATTTGAGGCAGATAAGAGATCAAACTCCATGTGTGGAACGGTGGATTATATGGCACCTGAAATTATTCTTGGAAAAGGCCATGATAAGGCTGCTGACTGGTGGAGTGTAGGGATTTTGCTTTTTGAGATGCTTACTGGAAAGGTATATGCTATCAAATTTTATTGTCTTTAACAAGGAAAGGAACCTCACATTAAGTTTTTTAAAAATTAAAACACCTGCTGATGACTTTTTTTCCTGATTTTCAGCCTCCTTTTATTGGTAACAGAGAGAAAGTTCAGCAGAAAATAATTAAGGAGAGAATCAAACTGCCAACATATTTATCTAGTGAAGCACATTCTCTACTGAAAGGGGTAAGTTCAGTTCTATAAGAAAATTAAAAGTATTGTAACTGTATTTCACTACACACATAGAATGCCTTGGGTATTGCTATGTACTATTCTTTTCACTTTTTTACTTTCGCTCTTATGAAAGCAGGAACACAAAAAATACATTTGGAAGCAGCATCCTTTTTTGCTAATGATAATGATAATGATAATGATAATGATGAATGAAGCAACATCCTTTTTGCTATAGTTTCTGAAGGAAAACAGAAAAAATCATAAATATATGGAAATCCTATACAACAACATCCAAGCCTTAGTCCCAAAAGATATTGAGGTCGGCTAACATGAATCGATATATGATATCACCACCAAAAGGAAAAGAAAGAAAATAAAGATAAAAAAGATAAGCTATTATAAAAAAGATAATATGAAAAAGAGATGAATATACATAAGAAATCCTATAAGTATCTTATATTGTTGAATGTTTTAATTTAGAACGTTTTTATAAAATTTAATACGTAGTATAATTTTTCATACGTAGTAATAAATAGTACTCCATATGTAGTTATATACATAGTACATTATAGAAAGAATGACTTGATCATTATTAATCGGAAGTGGATGGACAAAAATAGTCTCAAATACCCCTAGCTTGCTTAACCTGAAAACTAAAACACAAAAGCCAAAGCAGGAAAGGTTACCCAACAAAATCTCTAGTTTACTAATTGATTGACAAACATATAATATATAGTTTGGTAGATGTAGAATGTGTCATGCTGTCACTGATGTTATTAATGCCCTCTCTTTTGTTTTTGGGGTTCTCCTTTCCATGACTGTAAAATACTTATGTAGCTTCTCCTGCCATACATTTTATTTAGCTACTGCAAAAGGACTCAAGCAAACGGATAGGCAGTGGGCCAAAGGGAAGTGATGAGATAAAGGGCCACAAATGGTTTAAGCCCATCAACTGGAAGAAACTGGAGGCAAGGGAAGTACAGCCCAGTTTCCGTCCTGAAGTTGCTGGAAAGCAGTGTATTGCAAATTTTGACAAGTGCTGGACTGATATGCCCCTGCAAGATTCCCCTGTTTCCAGCCCTAATTGTGATCTCTTTCAGGGATTCACCTACGTGAGACCCGCTGCCTCCTTCCTTCGGAGGAGCAGTAGCCCTCTCGGCTAGGTACCATAATCTGCTTCCTTCCTAGGGTATATACTACGTATAATAATAAGCTATACTATTGGATTTAGCATTGAGTAATTGAGTTTGACCCTCGTAGTTGAATTTATGCTTTATTTTATTTCCCAACAATAAATTATGTGCTTGTATGAGATTCTATTTTATTTAATGTCCTTTTTCACTTTTTGCCTATAGATTGTCTAATTGTCCACAAATCTACTCTTGCATAGCAACTCAATTAGTATTTCAACATGATTAAAGTAGGGAAATGTCACATTTTTCCCTTCTAGCGAAGTGAGATGTGGTGATCATTGATATGTTTACAACATGCTAAACTGCATAAGTTATTCTAGACATATAACTTATGGTAATGGTACCAAATCAACTATAAAAGAACACAGTCTATGGTTTATGTTGCACGATACATGGGATGTGATTTATTATATGCTATTTTAAATTAAAGCTCATCATGATCAAGTAAAGTATCATGCTCAAGTAAAGAGTCCATATCTGAAGCGCTCTTCTTCTTACAACTCCATCGACATTTAGTGGAGCAGAGAGAGTTGAACATTTTAAGCCTGTTAGAATGAAGAGCAATGATGCGTGATGCAGAAACCGCCTTTGAAAGAACTATCGCGTACCCATCATCCATGTAGTCTGTCCCATCGGGGAAGAGCTGCCACAGAAGGGCTCCACCACCGCTGCCACCGTTCTTTGTAGAGCTCAAGACCTTATGGTAGACAGTATTGAAAATGGCATCCCTGTATGTTGAATTGTATCCGGGGTCTTTTGTATTAACACCAAACTCGGCGAAAATGATCGGCATCCGCAGGTAGTTCTCAGCATCTTCAATGTGCGATTGCATCCATGATTTCGTGAACTCCACATGTGCTTCAGTGATGTCTTGTGAAATCCTTCAAACCAGGTGGAGGATCCAAATTAATAAATATAAATGCATAAATTCATATATAAAACTCCAAGCTACTATAATCTCCAAGAATCATATTATTATTGATAATAATAATAATAATAATCTATTACCAAGAATCGGGATAAATGTGGGCAGAGGCAAAGTCAACCCCGAGAGCTTGATGGTTTCTAATGAAATCAGTTCCAACTTGTTGAGCATAGGTGTTTGGGTTGAATTGAGTCCTGCTAGGTGTTGACGGGCCATAGAAACCCTCCGAACCAATCTCTACAAGATGTTTTGGGTCCATGCTCTTCACATAGACTGCCATTTCTTGTATCCAATTCTGCATTGATACATCTTGTGTCATATTTGGTTGTATTGCAAATTAAAATATTCAGTATAAGACATTGAGCCACTTCTTGTATATAAGACTGAAGAGCTATACATTTTTTCTCACAAAACAACAACAAAAACCTGCAACGTATCTCCCGACGGGTCCGATTCACAACGGGGCTCATTTATCAGCTCCCATGCAAAAATGGTAGGATCGTCTTTGTATACAATGTTTGTGATGGTATTTACTCTGTTCAGCACAGCCTTAAGAGACATTGCGGGGGGGGGGGGGGGGGTCAAAACGTACACAATTAAATCATAAGTGGAAAAAAATATTATCTATGTGCACAAGTCTGTAAAAAGTGTATTACCTTAACATGAGATTTGTAGTATGCTTTGATAGTGGGATTTGAAAAGAAGTCATCATCAGAAGTTAGATTGAGGCCTGCATCTTTACCCCATTTAACATATTGCTTTTTGCCTCCATAGGGCTCCCAATTGTTAACAAAAGACAGTATAAGCCTCACACCATAGTTCTTTGCCTCACTCACCACAAAATCCAAACCCTGAAAACTCAAAATGGTGTGTGCTGAATATAATAACAATAACAACAATCTGAACAAGAAATGTGATATCACATACGCAAAGTACTTGAAACTGACAAAAACATAGTTTGGGGTTCTTACCATCTATGAAAGACTTAAAAAAGATTGATAAGATAACCATAGAATTAATTGAAAGGATGAAATAGACCTTGATGACAACTTCGTTATAAATCCGTGGGATAGAAAATTGATATAAATATATAAAGTCTTGAGTTATTTTCTCTACCTTGAAGACGAGTTCGTCATAGACCCCGGGAGATATCTGAAGAGCTCTCCACTGGCCATCATTGAAAGCCCAAGTGCGGCAGACGGTCATGCCAACAGAAGACGCCTGCTTAAACACATCACTCACTTTCCCTCTGGTCGACTCGTCTGCAGCAAACACCATCAACCAATATGTGTTGAACCCATTGACATAGAAGGGCTGCCCGTTCAATACAAACTGCCCGTTTCCATTCGTCTCAACCATCCCCCATTCTTCTCCCGCCATCTCACTCCTGCAAACAACCCCTTTGAGTAGCTCTCAATCAATAATAAGCAATAATAATTAAGCATGCATGCATGCACTACTTTAAGGGAAACAGTATAAACAGAAGCCCGGTGCACAACCCGCGAGGCCAGAGTCTGAGGAAGGGTCCCACCGCAAGGGGTAAGCCTAACCAATCTTGTAAACATTTACAAGAGGTATCTCTCAAGACTTAAACATGTGACCTCTCGGTCACACAACAACACTTTAACCTGTGTGATGAGGGTCATTGAAAGAAAACGATATACATGGCAAAAATTAATCGGGTCATTTGTTACGTACCGAACACGATCTTCAAATCTATAATAATAATTAGGGTTACTGCTGTCCTTCAATGAATATGATGAGTCTAACATTGCTAAGAATAGTATACAGATAGCAGCCCTGAGAAACTGCATTTCACAACTAGTTTTGATGAGTTTAAGCTTATTAGCCATTTCTCACAAACTTACCTTCTCCAGATTCCACATTTGGGAAATTGAGCAGATCAATATATAGATAGGTCCATGTACAAAGCTAGCTAGCTTTTACTACATACTTACTATACGTATGAGCAACAATTAAGTTATTATTATTTTTTGTTGGATAGAATTGGCAAAGCAGAAACCTTCCATAGCTGCCTTTAAAGCAAAGATTCACCACACTCATCTTAACTCAACCATTCAGCAGATAATCACACAATGCTACGTTAAAAGGCGGGAAGTAGTGGCAGACCCAAAAGAATAATCGAAAGAGCTTTTAATGTGGACAAATTTATGAGTTACATAATACGCAGTATAATGTTACATAGATATATGTTACAATACTAAATTAACAAATTTATGTATAGTTTGTTTTTCGCTCCATAAACTAAAATCATTTAAAATAGAATTTCAACCTTCTTTTCAGGTATTTCTTTCTTACTTCTTTCTAAAAATAACATACTTCATATTAAGTACTCCATCCGTCCCAAATTGAGAGTCCCTAATTTCCATTTTGGGATATCCCAAATTGATAGTACCATTTATTTATTTGACCAAGGTTTTATATAAAGTGTCCATTTTGACTTTTCTTTCAGTAGTAACTCAATTCCTTCAAAAGGGTAACTTTCTATAAAGGGTACGTAGTTGGTTAAATTTATTCCACTTTTTTAACGTTTGTGCCAAAAAAGTATGAGACTATCAATATGATCGAGATGGAGAGTATTATGAATAGGCATGTTAGTTATATATTTCAAAATATTCTGGCATAACTAAGGAAATTAATTCAACAACTCTAGCTACTTTAGAACTTAATTAATTTGTTGAAAGGTTATGCAATTTGGACACCAAGATATACACCAAATTGTGCACCAACTGTCATATACAAAATTTTCTTCTCACATATCAGACTGCCATGCAAATTCTCTAAGCATATACGCAAGTATGCAAAGACAAGTATCTTGCCTTTGTGAGTCTCTGAATAAAAAATTGTCTGTATTTATTAGTTTACAAGTGTACTGGTATTGCCACTTGATTTATTTGCTTCAAAGGATAATAACCTTGGCACTTGGCAAGCAGCATGGAGGGAAATGTATCAAACTAGCTTGGAGTGAAAGCATCAACCTTGTTTCCTATTTGCCATACATTGTCCATACATAAAATTAAATAGAACCAGAAGTTATGTAATAGCATTGACTGGATACTTAACTTTAAACAATTATTATTGGAAAATCTAGTTTTTAAATGATGATTAACTTTAAATAATCATCATTAGAACCATTGTTGAGAGATAGCTAGTACATTTATTAATAGGAGTTTTTACTTTTTAGCCCTGTAACTTTTGGTTGTGCTTGTTTTTAGTTCCGCAACTTTACTCTTTTGTATATTTGATCTTGTAACTAATGATTGTTTCTATATTTGAGGAGTCCTTCACCGGATCGCAAAATTCATCAATGACATCATCACTTGCGCCGCAAATAATACATTTCAGTGGGAAAATCTTTAACTAACTTGAACAAATTTATCATGATATAATTACTTGGAATGTTTTCAGTATCAGACCAGACTAGACTTGTACAATTATAAAATACACAGAGACCATACTTTTACCAGACTAGACAAGACCAGTTCAGAACAGGCCAGACCAAACCATACCATAGCAGAAAATTCCAATTCAAGTAAAAACATCCTTACTTACATGACTAAGTCTGCAAGTATGTAATATTATAGAACTAGAAATGGACATTTGCATAAATTATATGTCTAAGTTTACAATTTTCTCTAATTGGTATATTTACAAAGAATTTTTAATTGGTATATGGCCAATTTTCTCTAATTGGCCTGTTCTGAACTTCTCTAATTGGTATATTTAACGAGAAATATATACTTACAAAGAATTTCATGTAAAATGTGTTTATTTGGAATAATACTTACATAATGGTAAAAGACAAGTTTGGAATTGAACACACTATACTGCTTACTTATTAAATAAGCAACTTGTAATTTTAAAGTAAATAGCTAACTATTAAAGCAAACAAACAAGCAGAACAACTAACCTATGCAAATTCCTCGAACTATACACATACAACACTTACGTTTATACTTAGAACCGGTTTGGTGACATTGTTTTCGGCTTATCAGACCTATTGTTAGGCCCAAGAATTGATCTTGCAAACGGGCCAAAAAATTAGCATGCTTGAAGAAAATAAATGGCCCAAGTCAAAAGGAGGATACTCACATGAAGAGACAAGGGTTGATGAAGTCAAACAAGTGAGGAGGCAGACCAAAGATGATGGAGAAAAAAGGGAGGAAGTCGGTTCAGTTGGAAATGGCTACAAATCCGGAAAGGAGTTGCAAGGTAAAGGGGAGGAGCATCCAATAAATAGGCTGCAGAGTATCAAATGAAAGGGAGGAATGACCCACGATCAATATATTTGCTCTAAGAAGCTGCTACTTGTGTATTGATCTTCTTCTTATAAAACACATCTTATTTCATATACTGATTTCTTATATGAGCCCAAATTAGTTGTTTATAATCGGATATATAGAAATCCTCAAAGTATTCTTTAGCTAGAACAATAATCATATTATTTTTCCTTTCCATCTTGATTCTTGTACGACGCCCATTACCTACCCTTCATTTAATTGATTGTTTGAATTAGCATAAAATTGCAAAAACACCTGTCAATCAACTTTTTCACCAAACATGTAAATTTTGATTCCGCGCGCTAGATTGTGTAATAATAAGAAAAGGTAAGATTGAAATTACTTTTCTGACTATATTGGCTAAAATCATTGTAGAGGATCATTTTATCTATTTTTCATATAAGTTTTTCTTTATTTTATTTATTAATAAAATATATTTTAAATATTTTTTTCATAAATCAGCAGAATCTGTCAATCCAGCCACTTCAGTAAGAACTACATAAATTTCAATAAAATCAGCCAATACAATCGATTTGGTATTACTAAATGCGCTCTTAGACAATGGAAGCACCGATCGGCTCACCCCTTTGTTTGGCCCTTATTCCGAACTGATTACAAATCCCATTGATATCCCTATACCCTTATTTTCAACTAATGATCTTTATCGGTCATCATTTTATTAAACATACTTCGTATAACTTTTGATTTCGCGCGGTGTATTGAGTAATAAACAAAATAAGTAGGGTTAAAATTATTTTTCTGAGATGAATGACACAATAGAATTAATTTAGCTATTTTTCCATATAAATTTGTCTATATTTTATTGGTATAATCTATTGTTTTAATAGTAAAGCAGGGTTTTAAAAGGATGATGTGTCACAAGCTTATTGGTTAACACAAATTATATTAAAACTCCTCTATTAGAACAATTAATTTAAAATAACGAGTGCAACACTTTAAGTTGTAATAGAATTCCACTTTAAACTAATGTAATCACCTTAACGAGTGCTGCAGTTTAAGTTGAAATAACATATCCAGTTAATACGACATGATTCAGTTTTGGGACTCTTCAAGTCTTCCATAGCAACTATCTTTTGTTCGGCTAATTAATTGCTTTAATTTTTGGACTCTTCCAATCACCGAGTACTCCTAATATCAATTCATAAAATACATTTAATTCTTTAACAAAAAAAGAGCTTTCAAAAAAAGAAGACAAGGATGATAAAAAAAATGACAGGGAATGCATCCATTTTATATAAGACTACCCACGTGGTTCTAAAAGCTTCACCCACTTATTAATTTCTCGACTAATCGGCCTTATGAATCAATTTTTTCATCAAATACGCAACTTTTGATTTTGCTTGGTTCTAAAAATTATTGTTTGGTGACAGATAAGGTTGATAAATATATGTATCAATAAGCAAAATTTATGTATTGGTTGAAGTTAGTGTATATGATAATTTTAGCTATTTTTAAATATGTCTTTTTTTTTAAATAAATCAGCGAAATCAGCTAATCTAGCCACTTCATTTAGAACTTCATAAATTTCAGCAGAATCAGCCGATTCAGCCAATTTTGTTATTGCCAAATGGGCTCTAGAGTTACTTTTCTAGCTGATTTTGGCTGAAATTAATGAAGATAACTATTTTAGCTATATTTTCGTACAATTTCAAATTTTTTTTTAAATATTAATAAAATAAAACCTATTTACAGTAATATGATGAAATGAAAATTCCCTCAACATGTGTAAAAATATTTTGAAATTTCAAAATAGGACCGTCATATTTTAATTCCCTAAATAGAAGTAATTTCTGCTAAGTTTTGGATTATCAAGCTTTAAACATGGCAATTTCTGTCAAATAATTTCCAACAGCTACACCATCCTTTTCACCATTTCACCAAAATGGGGGAGTGGGTTTGGGTTTACACCATATATGGCGCATCACCATCCCTTGCACCATCTTATTTTTTTAATTTTTTTTATTTCAAATGTGACCCAAAATTTTGATATTTATAGTTTTGACCCATTTTAGAACAAAAAATTATAGAAAATCAAATTTAAATTATTAATTTGATAGAAAACAAAAAATATATATAATAAAATTTAAGTTTCAAATCGAAACAACATAATAACAACATATAAATGATACTTAAGAAAATAACACAATTAAAATTAGTGAAAGTTCCCAAAATAGGACTAAATAAATTTGAAAATTTCAAAATATAACTGTCATGTTTTTCCCCCCAAAATATGAGTAATTACTGTCAAGTTTGGAAAATACTGTCATCTTTAAAGCCTGGTACTGCCAAAACATGGCAGTAAGCCGGTAATTAGTATATTTTGGGAATAAAAACATGACAGTCCTATTTTTGGAATATAGAAGTGCTTTTAGTCCTATTTAGGGTAATTTCTCTTAAAATTACAATTAATAACACCATTAAAATTAAAAAAAAAATATTAAAATCATACATAATACACACTAATTTAGAAATTAGTAGTCATTCAACCCATACATGTTTCATGCGTGAAATATTGATTATAGTAGTATTTTAGTTTGTATTTGTGA